ATGGGAAACACCCATGTGAACTTCATTTCACTTTGAGGCACTTGGTGAGCTCAGTGTATGAACTACAATATGTTCAGAATTTATATCGTGTATGAACACAAGTATAATACAAGATTCTTTTTCCTTTCACAATTATAGGTTTTTTAACACAATTTTTGTCTATGATTTCTTATAAATCATGGCTTCTGTTTTAAAACAAGTGATAATGGATATACATCTATCAATTATCAAATACTAAAAGCCATACTGTATTGGAATTAATCTCCAATCTAGATACCTTTAGTTTTAATGCATCCCCTTCCAAATATATTGTGACGCAATAAAAAAGTCTAGAAACATGCTGAGCCATTAAATCAGTTACGTATATACCTGTATATGTCTCTACATGTATTGTCCTTGTGATCCAGGTAAAACTTGTTTATTGTCAGGTAAGCATTGAGCTGTATCACAATAGAATGTCAATTATCTATACCTGACAGGATACAGGATCAATTTCATTCCTTTGACACTGAAATGCATTCAAATGGAAGTGTGTTATATACTCCAATCCCATTTAGAAGGTAAACAAGAAAATTAACACTTACTGGTATATATAGCGTGATAAATGTTATGTATTAGGTAGGTTATATAGAAGAGTAATACAAAGAATGTTGTTTGTCCGATCAAACCCAAAAAAACCCGCTAGTCTGATAGACAGGAAATGGATTAAATTCCCTCAAAGTTTAGGCAAGATGAATTAGACACTATAGAATGCACAGCCTTTCATTTGAGTTCCATAAATTGCTATTAAATTTGCACAACCTTCTTTTTTTATTGTAAAAAGGTTTTAAGTTTGGAGTGTAAAATCAAAATACAATATCAATTTGTTAAGTCAACCATCCTGGAAAATACAGCATTTTCCCTTGCTCTTTATTCAGCATTGTATGTTCATAAATGTTACAAACAATATATAATGTATACTACACTAAATGTGTTGTTAATGCAGGTGATTGAATTTAAGTCAAGTCAGTGTGACGCCACCACACTTACAAAAATCTTCCTGAAAATTTACAAAACTATAGGCCTATATCTGATACACCGAGTCCTGCAACCAGATTCATTAACATTGAAAAATGTTAAGTATATAAAAACATTTACAATTAAGGTTTGATCTCTAAATCCCTTTCACAAAATATTGGTGTCTGATGAAAAAGATGCAAGTGGAAAGGACTAAGGCAATATCAAACAATTTGCATATCGACGTTAACAACTCAACGTTAACAACTCAAAGTTGGTTGTGAACTGTTCCTGGTAACTAGTATTGATATAGTGATATAATTAGTAATCTAGAACTGAAGACCCTCGAATATAGGCTTTTTAGACAGGTATTTTACATGCTGAAATTTTCCTTTCTAGACAGGTATTTGTGATGTGTAGATGGCCTTTCTAGACAGGTTTTTGTTATATAGATATAGTTAGCCACCAAGGCAGGTTTGACAGTATTCTATAGTTTTATTTTAAAGGAAAAAAATTCTGACAATGTATCCATTTGATCATGTGTGAAAGTTAAGATGATCAGTAACAAACATTTTCTTTGCCTGGCCTTTTCTCCAGGTGACACAGGTCTACTAAATTATGCTAGACAAGCATGAATTACGTATATACATGTACTACTATTGCTTTGACCTGTTTCAAACAATAGTCAACACAGTAGTCTGTAATAACACAATGGACAGTTTAAACCCTTTAGTTAAATGTTTTATTAACCCTTTATAAATGACATACCTACACTGATACATTCCTTCTGACAGTACCATAAATATCCTAATGTGTATAGTTGCTAAAAAGTGGATGAATCTGAAAAGTCCTTGTGAAATAATTTGATAAGCACCATTAAAGTAAGAATTTCAATCTCTGCTCTACTTCAAACACAAATGAAAAAAACTAGCGGCTGTATCTTAAAAGAAATTTTTTCTTGGCCTTATTTAAATGTGGTGTCATTGTTCACCATGAAAGACCACGAGATTTTCTATATCTTTGTCGTAAGTGTACAAGGTCAAGTTACATTCTTATCTGTCTACAGTGTATTAGTTAACAATGCTTTATCAATAGAAATAGTGTCAACATTTTATCAACAATTATTCAACATAAACAGTGTGTCTGTACTGTAAAGGTTCTTATTTTTAATGGGCTATATTTTTTGGTATTTTTTTAAAACATATTAAAGTAAATATAAAAATAGATTCAAAAGATTATTTACTGTTTGTCTGCTTCAATTCTGGTAAAACTATATATCTTGACTACTTCAATTTTGGAAAAAATACAGCAAGTGTGCTTCAATTACAATAAAAAAAAACCCAGCTTGCCTGCTTCAACTTTGGTAAAAATACAGCAAAAATAAAAATCCTAACTGCTACAACATACACCACAGTGACATGATACGTGTGATTCCACATATGAATTTACAAATGACAATCCTAAAGATTTTCATGTTCCTAATTTCTAATATGGAGTATCTTCTCAATATTCAAGCAATCCAATATTGATGGAAGATTTTCCATTTTGCATTATTCAAGGAAAATATTTTTGATATCACATCTCTGCATTACAAATACTGAAGTAGACAAAAAATGGATTTCTTTCTAATCAAAAGCAAGGAAAATAACAAAATGAAGGCCATCATCATCAATATTTAGCCGAAGTATCACAGGAAATGTTTAACAAAACAAACAATGACTACTGATTCATACTACAACGGAACAGATCAATTTTCATGGAACTGAAGTACCTGCCACGAATGGAGATTTTTATTGCAAATTTTTCTGTGATTAAGTCTCCAGGTTAAAAACTATTCTTTTGAAGTGACATTGATTATTATTTTATAGCTAAATCAATATAACTGGGTACACTTGTCTGAAGTCAATATGTGGATTATACTGCTGAATAATTAGTTTCCAATCTCCACAGTTCTATTGAAAGGAAAAACGATTCCAGTTCGGATGTTTACACTACACAGCAATACATGGAGAGAATTTAAAATTTAAATGAATATAATAATTTGCAAAAGAATGCATCAATAAAGTTATAATATGATTTAGTTACATGAATTTTTTCCTCTGTCATATATTGCAATGTCATAGATCATGTTGTCGTTTTTTTGTAAGCATAAATGCTTCTAATAGATGCATCTTGATAATTTTTCATTTGACTTCATGGTAGAGCACTTGAATTGACAAAATATATGTAATATTTACACAAAACTGGATAAAATCCTGTTTGAGTGTCCTAACCTTTGTACATGTATGAAAAAACTCTCAACAGAAGTTTGCACATATAATCATATGCATTTATTTGAAACATTATTTGCTGAAAAAAAACACTAATATGAAAAATAGCTGTTTTTGCATCAACATTAAAATTATTATGTTCTTGTTGGAAAGGCAAACAAATGGGGAATCAAACGAGGTAAGGTTTTATGGTGTTTGATTGGTGTCTTCAATTCCAGTTGCAGAGGACAAAATTTTGAAAACTTGTGCACATTTCATCTTAATTTGTTTATGCATGTTATTAAATGTCTTATATGTGCAGTAGGCAGGTAAGAACATATTTATAATGGTAAATGATAGCTGTGGTGCACCTGTAAAAAATTTGTATAAACCTTGGCTAGACTGACATGTTAACAATTACCAGGTAAATATTTGCATAGTTTACAGCATGTCAGGACTTGGTAGTGACTCATCTATTCAATAAAGTAATTACTCTTTCTCACACACTTCTTCATTGACACTTTGGGGCTTGATTTCTTTACAATTCAACAGTATAGAAATTCTTATATAACACAACCAGTAGAAGATTAGAGTGTAACATTTTGATGACTACAACTACATGTTTGATATTAATCAGATATATCAAAATGAATGAAAATATGAAAATGCTTAAATGCTTAATGAAATATTCCAAAGAGAGAATGCCATCTCATGCTTTTAAAATAAAGTCTCCCAACGCTTAAATGAAATGAAAATGGGGATTGTGAATGGGGCTGGTGGGAATCTTCAGATGAGTTAAACAGCTGTAGCACAATGTGTAGTAACTCTTCAAAAGTTGTGCTATAAAAAAAAAACACTGTCAATGTCATTACAGTAAAGAAGGTGGAAATTATGTTGAAAATAATGAATGTTGAAAACCGAATGAATTTGTATTTTTTTTTTTTTTTTTTTTTGATATTTGAACTAATTAAATTTAAATGGATTTTTTTCTTTCATTCTTATCTCACTCTTCTTTACTTATTTACATGATCAATTAAAGCACATAATGAATTGGTGATATTCCTCTCTACTGCTTTTTGTGGTTTTGTCGATATCACAGGAATCTAATGAGGCATGTGTAAAAATGAATTCTATATATATATATTGATGCCGGCTAATTTGCTAATATAATAGCTAGGTTACATACAGAACATCTGATTCCTGTGGTCGATATCAAACAACTGATCACAATACACAGGTTTTATGCTTATTAGCAGGTGCTCGGTGATTGCCATCGATTTCTGAGCGCGTGACAACATATCTTGATATCCAACATAAGATAGAATATACATATGTCGTGCAAAACAGGTCTTGGCCGGTTAGTGATTTGAAGGACTTAAGCTTGTCTTAAAAAATCGTCTGTACTACTTCATAGTAACAAGATCTACGCCAGTAAGTGAAGCTACTTACCTCTTTATTTCTCCCCTCGGAAAAGTTTGGCACGCATTCTATGACTCTTGGCATGATTCTTTTTATTATTTCCTAGTTATCTTTTATAGAATAGGTTGGTTGTTTCTTTTCATATCCTGTGACTTCGCACCGATATAGTCTTGAAGTGTACCTGTCAGGTAAAGCAGCTATCCGATTTAGTTGCGTACTACGTCAACATGCTTTGAGTCTCTTCCAAGGCAATATTTGATGACGTACCAATTTATTGATGCAACGTTTTGCACAGGGTACCATCTTCGATGGCTGTGGACCCGTAGAAAAATATCAATATTTGACAAATTACAGTCCATACAGCCAATTGATCGCTTAAATAACAAAATATTGGGTAAGTTAAACTGTTGGCGATTATATATATACGTATAACCTACTTGTGCATCGTGAATATTGGCCATGAATATTGCTTACCGGTTGGCCCAGATTTTACAGGGTCCCATTCATATATATTGTGTGTAGTGTTGTTGTGAGATGAAAAATGCATTAAAAATGCGTTGATGGAAAAACTGGTGCTACAATCAGTTTGTCAGCTAAAGATATTGATTGTTGTGACAAACGAAGTTTCGACGTGTGTGTGATAGCATCGTTATAAGCATCATCGTTTACATGGAAAGTAACGTATTATTATTGACCCATATCTTGAGTGAAAGCGTCAATATGAAAGGTGATTGTTTACTTGTCGTATTGAAGGATGTGAACATAATAGACACAGAAGAGGTTATGCAGCATATAAATAGGATATGCTTTTTCCACATTGGCCTGCATCTATATATGCAATCATAATAACACATTTTCACAGTGTCTATCTAGTGCAAACTGAACAGGAAAAGTGACATTTGTTATGACAGTATTACTGTACATTGTATACCATATAGATATTTCATTACCTATCCATATATCTATATTTGATATAGTACAGACTCATAGTATACTAAGTACGTATCATTCCATGGTACAAGGGATTCGTTCGTATTGCTGATGAACAGATATGTAGCCTATTTTCATGACATGTTTCCATGAATGAAAGCCAACAGATATCATTTATGCCAAATATTGTGTTCCTATATGGTTCATGGAATATTTAGTTTAGGAAAATATTTGTTCCTGTTTATAAGAAGTTGGAAATAATAAAAGTGTAGACCAGGAAGCAATTACACACCATTGTTTTAATTTGCTTATGGTGCATAGATAAAGGTAGCAATAGGACATGTGGCTTTGTCATTGAAGTGGCATCATCATTGAAGTGAGACATACCTGAAAATCAGGGTAAAACATATATACTTGAACTTACCAAAGCTCATATAAACAAAACCTATATGGAACCTGAAGAACTCCTAAATTTTTGCAATTTCTTAGCTTGTTTTATGTCATTGCTTTGACTGTTACATGCCTTATAAGTAATAGTCTTCCAATTAGCATATATACTGCCATCTGATAATCAAATATGATGTGTAGTAGTCTCTACATGCTTTCACAAATTTGTTGTTTGTAGGAAAATGTTCTCAAGTGTAATGGTATGTCGATCATTACAGATATCTTTCCATGGAAATCGTTAATATGTCTCTAATCTTGCATATGCAATGATCTCATTTGTAAGTAAATTAAACATCCAGGGGTTTGTCAACATTTTCGTGAAGGAACTCAATTTGGCTATATTCTGATGAAGCGACTCATAATTTTTTTCCTTATACAGATGATCTACATAATCATCCCCCAACCAACCAAAAATAGAGACAGGATAGGGAGTAATGGAAAAAGATGTTCTTTATTCACAGCTCGCCATGTTAAATAAAGTCTGCCGATATTAAAAAAAAAAAACCCTTGCTTACATGTTGATTATAATTTATGGTCAAGGGGAGACAACTTTTACAGCATAATCTGTGTTTACATGATTATGGCAGTTACAAACATCTAAACCACTTGTTAGACAATGACATATAAGATTTCATTTTTTTCCCCAGGAAATTGATAATTAAATTGAAGAAAAGATCAATAGAAAAAAACATATATTCACAATGTATCTGAGGTGGATTAGTAATTATTGATCGAGAGTTTGACACTGTAAAGGATCTTTTATACACTATCATGTTCCATTATGTCAATAAAAAAAACATGATATTCCCTCAGTGTATTTGAGACGGATAGGTTCTCATTGATGGAGGGAGAGGGACGCTGACACTGAAATTCTTTTATATACTACCAAGTATCAATACATTTTATTATGCCATGTTTTTGAAATTTTATACAGGTTGCTGCCACTTCATTTAATCATGGTGCGGCCTACAAAGAGACGATATACCAATGTGTTGCATGCCAAACATTTGTTGGATGCTGTCAATTTTGTTCGACAACAAAAGCAAATCCCAAACATTGAGAGAATTGCACGCTACATGAAGCGTATTCACAACCACACACAGTATGAGACTGAGAAGCAAATGCAGTATGCTGTTAAAGACAACTTGATTTTGTCATATCAGACTGTTGGGAAGAAAGGCAATATGACAGGTGTGGAACAGGAGGGATTCAGAATACCAGAAGAAGAAGACCTTGCTGAACAAGTAACCACTTTTTTATTTCATTTTTATCTCTTAACATTAATGGGTTTGTGTGGAAAACCCAATGGTTGGCAGGTGATCCCATACCAGTACCCTTTCTAATTTGCTTTGGAAATAAAAATCCTGGCTAAAGGTGACTAGCAAGTGCACAAGCACTATCATTGCTCCAACTTACCATGAATGGTAATTTTTGTAAGTTTTTTTTCAGAAAAGACCCGAACACCATTGCCAAAATTGATGAGTTGCACTTCTAAGAGATCTATAGTGAGTCCTCAGAATTTCAGTGAGTCTAGGACTCAAATATCTTAAAACCCAGTTTACTTGATATGATATTATGGTTTGATGGACTCCCTTGCTACAACCCACACACACACACAAGATTTATGATAACTAGATTTAATCAGTAGGTAATATACTCCTTAACCAAAGTGTCATTTTTAATCCTAACCCTTCATAATGATGGGGATGGAAAGTTGTTGGTTAGACTAAAGATCAAATTAGTGATAATGATAAGGTTTTAATATTTTCAGCAGGCAGATGACCATGACTGGTACTGTTTTAACTGTCACACGGTGGGAGATGTGCTACCATGTTCTGATTGTTGGCGAGTGTTCCACCCGAGCTGTACTGACGAGGAGTGGACTGGACCAAAATTCACTTGCTCCATCTGTAAAGTAAGTATGGGGTCCATGCTTGTTAATACAATATGTGCAACTCAGAAATATTTGTTTGTCAAAATCAGTTTTCATCTTTGTGAATGCCTTTTGATTCTTCTGATTTCCTGCCTTGACTTCTTAAGATTTTAAATAAAAAATTGGATTTGATATCTCCGCATGTTTTTTTAAGCACAATTTTTGGGGGGATATGAACCAGATATGAAATGGATTTCTGAAAGATCAGATTTAAACAGTATTATTTTTATTCCTTTAGTATCTGTACAGGTTCTTTCTAAATGAAAAGGCCAAAATTCTGTAGAGATTGTTAGATGTGTTTGTAAAATTTTAGGTATGTTTACCTCCGTGTGTTGTTTATATACACTGGCCTCTATAGTCAATCCTAGTAACCATTACATATACTTGTACAGATGATGGTTAATTGGGTACAGTTTGATTCTTGTTTGGTACCTCGTCTTATTGTTATTCAATAATTATTATTCTTGTCCCTAATTGACTGTCAAGCTTATCGCTGTACCTTTAGAGTAAATGAAGGGAAGTGATATGGAAGATCAGAATGATAATGATGAGTCTTCAGTGTTAATTCACAGCAAAAAAATTACAATGCCATAAAGAAAAGGAGATTTCCTTTTACATACTTTAGGAAGATTTTTTGTTAACAATAGAAAATTATTTAGTGCATTGTGTTAAGAACAAGATTTGTCTTGCTATTTCCTTGATAGGATTCAAAATTTTGGGTGGAGAGGGGAGGGGCAGGCGGGGGCAATTGGTTGATATTGCAGAGTCATTTATGTTTCTTTGACTAAAAATGATATATGACTCAATGAGAAAAGTTGTGGAAAATGGAAAATGTGGTGTACATCTATAACAGTAATATTGTATAGTTGGATATGAAGTCTGTTTGTACTGTTTCACACCTAACTCTCTGTGTCTCTTCATTTACAGTCAAACTTACAGGTTAGCTTGTTTTCTACCTTCCTTTTTGATTTGATATTGTGTTAGTAACCAATAGAAATTCAAAGTTCAAGTTTATGCATGAACATTTGATGATTTTATAGTTATTTGCAAAGATTTCATTTCAAATTTTATATTGCGGATACACATTTGCTTGAAAATATCACCAAGGAAAATAAAAGATGGAATTGTACCTGCTTTTGATTATCACATACATATCAGGAGCTACTAATAAATTTAATGATATATGACGATGTATACCATATTTTCCGCATTATAAACTGCAATGGTATGTAATCTGCAGAACCAATTTTTAACAATTTTTGCTATTAGAGCCACATATTATCCACATTGAAATATAAGTCACACCCTTTCTTGAGATGTGGTAACGGTTATGTTGACCCAAGTTCATTGCAAATGTATTATACACAGATAATTTGATTTATTGATGTGCTTCAAAAAGTAAAATAGAAATTACCGATCTCGTTTGGCTTTGGAGCCTTCAAAGATTGTCTACGCACAGATATAGGGCTTGAAGTTACGTACAGTGTACGTAAATATTACCGAAGGCCCTTGCATGCCAACAAAATTCTTATAGTCCCATATCATTTCTTGTAAGTTACGCAAAGCCATTCCTATCGTAAACAACCATGGCAGTTGTTCTAGAATTTGACCCGATGACCTATCAATCCCAGGATGCAACAGGCTATTGTAAACTTCCACCGTGGCTTCCGAAGCAACCATGAAATTTCAGAAGATATCGTTGTGATTCATATTAAAAGAAATGATAAATTAAATCCTTGAAAAAGTTTTTTTTTATTTCAATCTTAAAATCGTCCTGTATACAGCTATAAATGATTGTTCTAGTCTGTTTCAGTCACAAACATGTGATAAACAGGTAATCATAAAAATACTTGGCACCGACTTATACTGGTGTACTGGTATATTTGGTTTAAATCAATATTTTTTTATTCTATCTGGAAGCTTGACATGTTACTGCAATCAAAATTATCATGGTGCAAGGTCATGCAGATCAATAGTGCATGTGATACACCCCACAAAAAGGCTGTTAGGAAATACATAACGTAACAGGACAGATGTCCAAACTATACGCTTTTTTTTTTTTTTTTTTTCATTCTGCCAATTTATTTTGTCCACATATAAGCCCCATGCCTGACCACTGGAAAAAAGTCACTGCTTATAATACGGAAAATATGGTAATTCTAAATGGACTAAAGTATCATCTGCTGTGTGGTTTTATTTCTTATTAAACAAAAAATATATTGAAAATGCAATATGCTAACCATCTTTTAGAAAGAAAATGTTTTCTGTATGAAGTTCTATAATGAATGATGACAACGTTTTTGACCTTCCTATGTTTCTGTTTGTTGCTGCATGGCAATTGAGTGGTCATTTTATTAATAAGATTGATGTTTAAGTAGAGGAATATTCTTGGTGAAAATGTATAAATAAAAGTATTCAAAGGAAATTCTTTGGGGTATTGAATCATATTTGAAAGATCTGGGAAAATTGTATTGTAATTATTATTGTGTTAATGTTAATTTCAGTGAAAAATCATATTATTATGGAATTGATAGGCATCGAATCAGTATTGAACAAATTTTAATCAGTATTAAACTAATTTCAAGTTTGATATTGAGTTGATGAGGTGTAACATTTTTTGTTTGTTTTTGATTGAATTTAAAACCAGTATATTGATATATTGATCTGTTGTAAAGATCACATTTAGTTACAATATTTATGCTGAATTTTCAAATAATGATGAATTCTGGTTAAAACTGTTAAGATAATTTTCATGTTGGATTGTTATATAAGTACTGATAAACTGAAATAATATTTATCGAATCTGCACGTTTTTCCCAAGTAATATGTGGTAAACAGATGGTGAGAAAAGAGGACTTAACAGTTAAGTTAAAAGTTTCATTGTTCAAATAAATAAACATCCCCATAAGCAGGGATTTGTCACAGAAAGTAGTTTCTTCGGAATGTCTTACTGGCTGAAGACAAAAAAGGTCAAATGTCAAGGTCATGATCACTTGCATCTAGCACGCTTAATATGAGTTTCTAACAGACTTTACAGAATATTGTTTGGATGCATGTAATGCAAGTTGCCCAGTAAAAAATAATCAAGAAGATAAGAAATCTGGTAGATTGTCATTCATGTATTGTGTACAGGGAAATCTTGTAGGGAAAGTTCAATTTTATAGCCTGTAAACTTATTCAAAAGGAAATTTCTCTGAAAGACCAGTTAAATATTTTTTAATTACCAACAATTGATATTTTGATAAAAAGTTGTTGTGTACTTGATAGATATGTAAAATCACAGCTGTTATTGTCATTGTATACTTGACAGAGGTGTAAAATGATACCATTGCAGTTGTCGTTACCTGATAGATGTATAAAATTATACAGTTGTAATTATATGTTTATGATCTGTCTAACCTGTCACTTTAATTTATTTTTCCCTTCATTTTTGCATGAAAAGGAGATAGAGGTAATCATGTTTTCTATTCCTAAAGTATTTGCATTTTTGTGGGTGATCACTCCTAGATACTGATTTTTTTTCTTTGTCCCATTTTTGGTTTGGATTCTCTGATCTCTGATATACATTGTGTGTCAGTGTTACCTGGCAAATGTTTCAACAGTTCTCCTGTTTTCTGGAAAAAAAAATTTGATGAAATTTTGTTTTCATTGTGTTCTCGCCAAAATTTTTTCTTTGCCTTTATTTCTAAAATTTTCAGAAAAAAAATTCTGTACAATAAACATCACATCATGATCAGCAATGGAATTACTATAAAATTGTGTTAATAATGTGGTTTCATACTCCAAAATTCTGTATGATTTAACTCACATTTAAAAGAGGGACTCCTTATGCTTCAACAAAGAGCATTTGGCTGCTGGAAACTGGGACATTATATATCTTCGTTCCATGTATCTCATGATATCTTTAATTTGTTGCATTACATGCTGACATGGATGTTTAAAATCAAATTTGATAATATATAATGTAATTACAAGTAATTGTGATGTAATTACATTCGTGTATAATGTAAGAGCTACTCAAATCTTTTTGCGAACAAAGCTTTAATTTCTAAAACTTTAAAGAAGTATTTTGGGGACTTCATAAGATTTTCCAGATAACATTGACACAGGATAAGGCTTAAGTAGAGAGAGGACAAACAGCTTAGTACACTAAATATATGTAAACTTATATTCATTTGTAAATAGCTGCTTCTGGCTGTACTATTGTCTAAAGCACTGCAATGCCACGGTAGATTGTACACGATTTCAGTGACATGTCACCTCCATTCTCAGTATGACCCTGTTGTCAGCCATCATCTCGTCCTCATCATTCACTGTTGTGTCCTGGATCTAATCAAAATCACATTTTTTATCCCTTATAATGTCACTTTCACATTCATCATCATGGTTTTCGTCATTTGATACATTTTGTATATTTGTTGTGAATCATTGTGATGTTTGAGGCTGGGGTGAGGAAGACCTGCTGGGAGAAGGTGTTCTAAAACAATATTTTTAGGGTCAGGTGGTTATATACTAACACGCAAAAGAAACGCAACCGCAAAATGTTTATATTATGTTACTATTTTATTCAAATATGTCATTTATGTTTTTCAACTGATCAAAGATTAAGATTCATTTTACTGGATAACACATTCAATTTAGTATTTAGTTATCGCCAATGCAGTGAAACATGTCAAGGTTCAAAAGGGGGTAGTCCTAAAATTGCCCCAGTCTCAATAATGAGTACGTCCCCGTTTACATTTGTTGTGGCTCGAATTCTATGATGCATAGAGTTTATCGAACAGTTTATTTGTGTCAAAGGGATCATATTGGCGCAAAGCGAGTATTGTCTCCAGTGGATGCAGGCACGTTCTAATGCGACAATCTAACATGTCCCACACATGCTCTGTTGGCAAAAGATCAGGACTGTAAGGGGGACAGGGTAATGTGTCTACGTTGTTATGATGAAGAAAGTCCATTGTTTGTCGCGCTACATGGCACCTGGCATTGTCATGTGGAAAAAGCAGGTTATGTTGGTGAAGAAAGGGGTTTTACTGAAACTACATATACCACCCCACACCATAACACTACCACCGCCAAATTTGTGACATTCCACCATGCAGTTTTCACTGTATCTTTCTCCATGACATAGAAATATGCTCCACTGTCCATATGAGCGGTACAGTATAAATTTTGTCTCATCAGAGACGAGTACATGGCGCCATCTTTGCATAGGAAATACATTTGGACGTGTCCTCACAACCACTGTAGTCTGACTTCATGTCGATGTCGATTTAGTGGCATTCCAACAGCAACACAACAAGGTTTTATGCCAAATGAGCATACATGCCTCAAAACAGTGCCGTGACTTATTCTTGGATAATGTGTTCCTGGTGTCTCGTTTACAGTTTTTTGTGCAGTTCTGAAACGATTGCGCAAGTGCTGCAACCTCATGAATTTGGTCCTGACACAGTGTTAGAACCTTCGGTCGGCCAGTCCGAGGACAGTCTGCAGTTGTACCAGTCAATCTAAGGCAACTATAAAGCCGAATGATTGTGCTTTTTTGGATATTAAGTACTTTTTCTATAGCATTTTGAGTGTCTCAGCCCAACAGTAACTACACTGCTCTGCTGCAGTCAGCATCAATTAGCCTAGGCATTTTTCATGTGAAGACAAATTACATTAAATGTTGGATAATTCTTACCAGGTACCTGGAGGATGACATAGAGGTAAAATACTCATAAAATGCTACCATGTGTATCAGTGCACATGCAAATTGGGTATATCTTGCAAACATGAGAACAAGAAGCGTGACAAGAGTTCAAACCAACCATGAATTTCAAAGGAAATGTGTATGGTAGCAATGTGTTAAAATCACACATAATAATTCCAAATACAAATTCAAATACTGACATTTAATTGGGGTTGTGTTTCTTTTGAGTGTCAGTAAACTTGCAGTTAATGGCCAAAAAAATCCTAACTGAACCTTGTCGGATGGAGTTGGCTGTACATATATGCAGTATATAAAAGTAAAACAAAATGTACAACAGCTTTTTTACAACTTGCATTTGTGCATTGGGACAATTCTACAGGTTAAATAGTAAAAATAGAAAGTTAGGTTTGCTGTCCATATCTCCATTGCATGTTTGGGGGAAAAAGTGACATATAATTTAGGACCTCTAATCTTCTTCTGTGAACATCTGTTTCGACCTTCTGACTACCTTAACACTCACTTTTGGTTTAAAATGAGTATTTCTCTGTGATAGGAAAGCTATGGGCTGTGTCCTTGTATCATGACATTACAAGGTCTTTAAGTGATGCTTGCCACTAAATGGATGCTAATGAAAGTATTACTGGCTCATTCTGGTGTCAGAATACTGCTTTAGGGAGGATAGTGTGCCAAGATGTCTGTGACGTGTGATTTAGATAAATGGTTCTAGGAAAGGTCCAAAATGCATAGAGCAGCAACATTTTAAAATTACCTAAATTTATTACTCTACATGTAATAGGACATAAAGAAAGCAAATAAAACCAAATCATTTTTAGTAGGACTTTGCTACATGTTCTCATCAACTCACTGCTAGGCATGAAGCTTCCTACTCAAATAGTGACAGGAAACTCCTAGAAAGTGTTAAATACAGCTAAGTTACAGGTACAGGGAGGGGGGCGGGGATGTTCCTTTTTATACGCCCATCGAAAGACGGACGTATTATGGTATGGCGCTGTCTGTCCGTACAGTGTCTGGCGTCCGTCGTAAATTTTTATTTGTCCGGAGATCTCCTACATTTTTCAGCCGATCTTTATGAAACTTGGTAGGCTTAATCACCATGATATGAAATTGTGTTTTCCTGAATGGTGTTTGATTAGATGATTTGAATAAGATTTATGCCCCTTTGCTGTTTTGGATATTCACGGGCGTATTTTGTTCCGCTTTGCGGTACTCTTGTTAAATAGAGGTTGGAGGACACTCTTACCAACGTCAAATAGAATAATAAAGGTGGTTTCCTAGGCAGTAGCCAACAAAAGGTAAGGGGGTGGGCACTCCAAGGCAGGGACCAATAGAGGCTTAAAGGGTGCTCCTGTCCAACAGAGGTAAAGGGAGGGCACTCCTAGGTAGTGACAAATAAAGGCATGGTGGTGATCAGAAACAGTGTCAAATGGAAGATAAGGAATGTTCCTAGGAGAGTTAAATGGAGGTGAGAGAGAGATCTTAGACAACATCAAGTAGAGAGCAGGTTAGGGGGTGGCATGCTCAGAGAAAAGTGTTAAAAGAGGCAGTTCCAAAGCTAGGGATGTGATATGGTGGGGTGTTTCTAAAGACTCACCAAGTAGAGGCTAGTGGCACTGTTAGTATCTACTAGATATGTGTATTAAGGTCACTCATTCATTAGTGGCGTGGAGATAAAGACACTTCTATATCACCTAAACACTTGTATTGCTGGGAAATACATGTAGAAGATTGAAACTCTTAGCCAAAAAGTAAACCAGCACACGGCGACTGTGGGGAGAATGGATTTTTTTTCTATTAATTTGTTAAAAGTGATAATAAACAAATTTCTTTTTGCTGAATTCAGTACATTTACATTTTACTCCTACAATCACTAATGGCTAGGCTGCTGGAGGAGGAAGGGGCTTCCTGAATAATTTGAGCTACATGTACAGGTCTCTTCTCAATTTGGAATCTGGGTGGTTGATTATATATTTGTGTATGTACATATGTCAAGCATGGTTTGGTGGATGTTTTGTATAGTAGTCATTTATGTACTCAAGATTGCTTATATATCTTTTTTATTCTTTCCTCCCACAATGTATAAACTGCAAAGTGAAAGATACATTGGAATTTCAAATGTTCTGTAAATATTGATTTATATATAATGTAAAACATGTGGATTTAGTGAAATATGAATAAGCTGACAGATTAATATCTTAGGTTGTGAAGTTAAGCCATTATAGTAAAATCAATCTAATTATATTGATGGTTAAAAGATAGAAAATTGTGAAAGACTGGAAATTACATCAGTATTAAGATATTTTATCATCAATGGTTAAGGTTACTTTAGAGGTTGTTCTGTATATGACAAGATCAACACTGTGACATCACAAATAGTTCACCTTGCTTTTTACACTTGAGAAGCTGGAAATACTAATAAAAAATGTGGAGTTTGATAGGAATACATGGTTCATAAAAGATGAAATTTGGTTTTGACAATATGTTGTCCTTTAATGACAGTTAATAAAGCAAGACAGTCCTGTTGGAACTATGTAATGTATATCGAATGCAAGTAAAAGGGACTTGTAAAATACTTTTGTGATATTTGTTTAAAAACTGTTTGAAAGTAACAGCATTCTCATTCTATCTTTTATTATGCTTTCTTATTTGAATAAAAAATAATTAGATTTGAATGTTACATATTCAGAATTTGTGTTTTATGTTCCAAATTTGGGTTAAAAGTGAAAAGATGAAACTATATTAACTCAATTATCAGCATTAGATATGGATATTTGTAGGTCTCATTATCACAAAGCAACAATAATTGTGGATTAAGGTGTAGACCAAGAACTACTTAGAAATCAATGTTTCATATGGGTTTGATGGGAATGAAATATTTTTTATTGAAAACAGCTTTCTATGAAAAAAAGTTGCTACATTTTGTTGGTCTGTTGGTATTGTTGAGATTGTCATGCATGGGAGTTTTTGTGAAGTTGTAAGATCTTAGAATTTATATGCAAGTGTTTTTTAGAACTAGACCTCTGGGCATGTTCCTTTTATACCTCAATATGATATCTTTGAATTAAAGTTCGACATTTATTGTAGATTTTATAGTTGATAGATTTGATAAAAAAGATATAATTTCTTATGAAATCTGTCTGATTTATATATTATGAATATGCATATGCATATATGATATAGATGTAATGAGAAGTAGATCATCTAAAAACTATTCATGGTAATATTTTATTTTATGTTACTATGCCAACATAATTGTCAGAGATTAAGCACAGCTATTATCTACTTTCGCTTTCTGATTTATAGTTTTCTTTCAATTCTAATGAGAAAGCTATCTAAGAAATGTCACATTTTACTGGTAAATTCACATTTTTTGTGCATAAAGAAAGACAGCTCACTCATATATACCTTTATTAACGTCATTCTGTCATTATAACAAATCTGTTTCATTGCACATTTCTTGTGCTTTTGTTGGTGGCACAATGTACTGAGTTTTCCCTTACTACTAGCAGGTAACAGGAAATGTGGCAGAAAGATGATCTATCACCACTGTATAAAATAGACAGAGAAATCTCAAACTGTTTGGGAAAGATTATTGAAGATCACTATTCTGCAAAACCTCATTATGAACTTCTGAGATCTTATCACCAGGTTACCAGTTTCTCTGTGTACATCATACAGGGGTCATTGAATATGTTGAATTCATTTGAAACTAAAAGACACTGTATATTTTGGAACTACATTTCTAATAATCCAGCGATCTCAGTCGGGTTTCAATGAATAAATATGTGTATCTTCTTCAAATAATAGTTACATGAACATTTTATTTCTATTTTTAGAATACTTACACATGAACAAAATTGAGCAAAAATTTCTCAAGTGATTTATGTAGCTTTGTACAGTTGTATGATAGTCACTGAAAATGCTTTTTATTATAGGCTGGAAAGAAGAAAAACAAGATGAAGAGAAAGCTACTCAACACACTGCTTAGTTACACTATAATGAGGATGAAAGAAAAGGTAGGAGTAATGTGATATATTGATTCATGAAAAACAAGGATTTTCCCTGAAAAACTATCTGTGATCTAGTTTTTTTCATCTGTTTTATAAATACTGTTACCCTCTCCTTGTTTACATTGTCTTTCTACTGTATTACAATCTCCTTGTCAATGTTGTTGGACTTTTTTGGTATCCAGTTGTCTTTCCTTTCGTCTTTCCATTAATTGGTCTGTCTATCCTTTTATAAATGATTACTCTTTGTGATCTTTTGCCTTTTTACTGTTGGTGATTGTTGGTCCTTTTGATTCATTGACATTACAATTATCAGACATTTCCATTAAATTACTAATAATTCTTACATAATTATCATCATTTTTCTTCTTCCATTTCATACTATTGTTCAATCATTGTATCTTTTTTCTTATGTGTATGATGGAGACATGGAGCGAGACTTAGCCATAACTTTTCTGTTGGCGGCAGTTACAGCATTTTTTTTTATGCCCCCGCCATTTATGGCCGGGGGCATATAGGGGGTCCCATCCCGGGGTCCCGTCCCGTCCCAAATCAGTATATACCACCTAACAACTTCTTTTCACTATTATTTCACATGACATTTTCAGACATTTTCTAGTTTTATTCAAAGTCAAAGGTGTTTTAATGATAAGTGTAACTATTACCAGACCTGCCTTAGAGTAAGACACAATGTAGAGCCTCTCAGCACATGGTTTTAAGCTATGAGTTTGGTCTATACTTCATAGCAGCTGAACTTATAAAGCCAATATTGAAAGTTTTTGCTTATGTTGAGCTTAATTTCTCAGTAAGTAAATGTGCTATCATAAACAAACCTGGATTACACATATATCTATGCATGGCCATTCCCAAACACATTTCAGATTAGGAGTTTCGCCTACAGTTTACCATTGATTGCACTTTCTTAGTTATACATGAACAGGTATTTTTGAGTTTCAGATATTAGAGCACTGAACTCATGCTTTTCTGCGGGACTCACTCAAATTTTAAAGAAACATTACAAAAAATTACTGCATTAAGATAATAGTTAATAGATACATGTTGATTTATCTTGTTGCTTTAGACAAGTGGGGACACGCTAAGCATAATTTTTGTACTTAATTTGTTTCCGTTAACTATATAATGATTTACATTAAGTATTGCTAATTTGCTTTGTTACTTAGCAGAATAACTCTTCATATTTTATGCAGTACATGCACTATATTAACTGTTTTAACGTTGCCTGTACACACATCAACATTCCAAAATGCTCAAGTTTACATGCTGAAAAGTGGGTTCATGTAAATATTATAATACTTTTTGCTTTTTAATTATTTCTCAAACAGCCAATGATTTTTACACTGTTAATGTTTACAGCATGTGATTTTATTCCCATGTTTGTGTTTGTCAGACCAGAGAATTACACAAGATTGGCCATCGAGAACAAGAAGTACAGTTTGAACGATATTTTGTGTACCAGTCCATGGACTTGAATCACATCGAGCAGAAGGTTGAGAGTCACAAATACCGCAGTTTAGAGGAGTTCCTGGCCGACACACACCTTATATTTCACAACATATATCTTATATATGGGGGTAAGCAAAACTGACGACTGAAACTCTGGAATGTGATAAAACTGGCCATAATCTGTCATGGGATGGTACCAAGTACAGCTTATTATAAGAGTAATATATTTTTTTTAATTTTTAGATTAAGGTGTATGTTGAAATTTGAAATGACAGTAATTTTTTAGTTCAAAAGTGCTATTCACAGTTGAAACCAAAATTTTACCAAAAAACCCGGTGACAGTATTGCTGCAAATCGGTATAGAGTGTATTTACAGACCCATATTTAATATATATGTTCGTTGATTTCAATTAAAAGTTTTTTGGGAATTTTAATTCTTCATACCTATGATCATCAATAAACTGTAGATGAAGGTGTTGAAAGCCTTGAAGTTTGTTGGTGTAAAACAATGTCTTAAGATAAAATGCAAAATTATGAATCTCTTTCAAATGTAGAGAATTCATATTGTAGGCACAATGATATGGAAAGGGTTTTCACAGCATGAACAAGCTTCACAGGATAGTGAATAATCAACTAAATATTTTGTACACCTGTTGGCTTTCAGTGCGGAATTGTTGAAGAAAGTACATCAACAATATATTTAATTTCGTTTAGATTAGTGCAGATATATTTTTTTTTTTAATGTCTTTTTTTTTCGCCAAAATCCTGAGACAAAAAAAAGAGATGTATTTCTTAAGTAATGAACAAGAATTTTCTGTATAAATTTGATTTTCGATCAATCTATATTTCAAGATTTTATTCCATTGCTTAAATGAGTGAAAATAGAACTATTGCTCAAAAATAATAACCATAGAGTAGCAGTACAAACATGTTTTAATGGATGGCACAGCATATTTGCCTATTGATTTTGCCAGAAAATACAACTTTTACAAACCAATATTATTCTCATTTCAGATGAAATAAAGGGTGGAATGACTGAATTAGCGAGGATAATGGCAAGAGATTGTAAATACGATGTAAGTGATATTTGTAGAAATGCATAAAACATGTAATCTGTGTAATTATGTTATTTGTACACATACTTTTGGGCACTGAAGTTGCTGAAAAATGCTTTTATCCATATAGGTCATGTGCATAAGAAAATTATATATATGTAACATGATTTCAAGGGGGTCCCAAAGATCGACCTGCAACTGTCAGATATCATCTATCTCGAAGAAGTACTATCAGACATTAGAGATGTTTAAGTTTATTATCTAAATGAGGTACTTATGATGAATTATGAGATGGATCACCCACATCAGGAAGTCTCCTATATTGTCCAATAACACAGATAAGCTATACATATGTGTAATCCATGTATGATAAAATAGCTCCCGTTCCTAGGCTGAAACAAGAAAGTTCAACCTAAGCAATCACATTTTTAAATGACTAAACTGTCAAATCTGAAATGCTGTGGTTTATTGTCAATTCCTAAAATGGCGAGTAATAGTATCAGCGTGATATATATATATATATTAGATCAAATTGTAAAGTGCTGATGCGTTACTAATCAGATGTGTTTTTAATCTTTTTATATATTATATATATATGTGTATATGTTTCACCGTTTTCAAAGACATCTATGAAATGTTGTTATAGAATTGTATACTCAAAACTTTATTTATATTATTTTGCATGATATATTTAGAAAAACCAGTAACTCATAATTTGGCCAGGTTTCATTTAAGCATTTAATCTGTTTTAGGTTGAAGAAATTAAGCAATGTCATAATTGCTACTACATGTCAAATGCAAAACCAAAGGATTGGTTCTGTGAACCGTGTGTAAGTATAAACATAAACAGGTTCTGTGAACTGTGTGTAAGTATAAACATAAACAGGTTCTGTGAACCATGTGTAAGTATAAACATGAACAGGTTCTGTGAACCGTGTGTATAAACATAAACAGGTTCTATGAACCGTGTGTAAGTATAAACATGAACAGGTTCTGTGAACCGTGTGTAAGTATAAACATAAACAGGTTCTGTGAACCGTGTGTAAGTATAAACATAAACAGGTTCTGTGAACCTGTGTTACTGTACAGGAGGACGTGTGAAAAAATGATTTGTGAAATATTGGAATATAAAGAAGTATTCCATCGTATATTTAAATGTTAAATATTTTTCTTCTATCAGCAAAATTTCTATTAATATGCAGGCTGATTTGTTAAAAAATTACATAATCACTTATGATCTGTATACTGATCCTATAAAATAAAGAACAGATTAAAAATCATGTAACATGTACTGATTCATTGATTCTAATTGATTCTAATATCAGAACATTTGTTTATATAAGGGTCAATTGATTGAAAGTAGTAAAATCAAAACCAACACATTTTAAGCTGAATTGAAAGTTGTTAGGGTATCAAGTTTTAATATGTAGGTTGTGAAAGTAGAAAATGTTCAGAGTTTTGTTTGTATAAGATCCACCACATACACTGCCCAGCTGGTTTAGGATCTGCTACATACATTGTGTCTTGTTTACTTTGTACAGGATCCGCCCCATGAACTGGTATATGCCAAGTTAAAAGGTTACAGTTACTGGCCTGCCAAGGTCATACGGAAGGAAGGTGAAAAATATGATGTCCGATTCTTTGGAGGTTTTCATCAAAGGTAAGACTTCCATTCAAGGATATTTTTTAATTTGTTTGTCCCATGTCTTCACAAATTATAAATTTCCAGTTATAATGTAGTTTTGCAATAAGAAGGACTGAAGCAATTTACACTGACTGCCTGGTAGTCTGGGGTGTGTAGGTAGTCTGAGGTGTGTAGGTAGTCTGAGATGTGTAAGTAGTCTGGGGTGTGTAGGTAGTCTGGGGTGTGTAGGAAGTCTGAGGTGTGTAGATAGTCTGAGGTGTGTAGGTAGTCTGGGGTGTGTAGGAAATCTGGGGTGTGTAGATAGTCTGGGGTGTGTAGGTAGTCTAAGGTGTGTTTGAGTCTGGGGTGTGTAGGTAGTTTGAGGTGTGTAGGTAGTCTGAGGTGTGTTTGAGTCTGGGGTGTGTAGGTAGTTTGAGGTGTGTAGGTAGTCTGAGGTGTGTTTGAGTCTGGGGTGTGTAGGTAGTCTGGGGTGTGTAGGAAGTCTGAGGTGTGTAGGTAGTCTGGGGTGTGTAGGAAATCTGGGGTGTGTAGATAGTCTGGGGTGTGTAGGTAGTCTAAGGTGTGTTTGAGTCTGGGGTGTGTAGGTAGTCGGAGGTGTGTAGGTAGTCTGGGGTGCATACGGGCCAAAGTGTTCCACTAAACTTGAGATATATATTTTTCAAAATTGAATACATGTACTTAGTTTCTTGCAGCTAAAAACCAGGTATTGATAGCTTCTGTGGTGAAATAAAATTTCAAGATTTTTATTTCTGTATTTGACGATGAAATCATATGTTGTAGTTTATGAATAAAGTGATTTCATTTCTTTTATTACAGGGCCCTCCTAGCACCAGATCAAATAAAACCTATAACAGCAAATGTTAAAAGCATTGTAACCAAGAGAACTGCTGGTAAGTACTTTAGATGCCATTAGCTTCTGGTACAGAGATATGCTGGAAATGTTTAGCTCGGCTTTGAAATTGACTTGACTGAGCTGTAAAGTGAACATGTTTTTCTTTAAAAAAAAATCAATTTATATCCTATTTTGTCATTTTTAAATCAGCTGTGATTTGTTTTAACAAGAAGTGAATTCCATGAAAGTCAGTGTATTTAATATATGATATCCACAAAGATTTAAGACTTAAAATTGTACATTTTTTGTGTAAAACAACATGGAACTGTGTCAACTTGGTTAACATATTTTTTAATCTTTTAAGTTCAAAATTTAATTTCTCTATTCTCTATTCACATCTTCCTTTGCATTGCTACTTGTATACTACAGTGTATGAAATAACATTATATAACAATAAATGTATGGATGGGTCTTACAGCCTTACAATAATAAACTAATTGATATTATGAAAATATGAACCTGTACAGTCTTCTTATCTCTTTCTCTGGTCCATTTATAGAAATATAACAGTATTACAGTGAATCAGTTACAAGGAACTCATGCTAGAGTGAACATTTAACAGTATTACATTGAATAAGTTACAAGGAACTCATGCTAGAGTGAACATATAACAGTATTACATTGAATAAGTTACAAGGAACTCATGCTAGAGTGAACATATAACAGTATTACATTGAATAAGTTACAAGGAACTCATGCTAGAGTGAACATATAACAGTATTACATTGAATAAGTTATAACGAACTCATGCTAGAGTGAACATATAACAGTATTACATTGAATAAGTTACAAGGAACTCATGCTAGAGTGAACATATAACAGTATTACATTGAATAAGTTATAACGAACTCATGCTAGAGTGAACATATAACAGTATTACAGTGAATAAGTTACAAGGAACTCATGCTAGAGTGAACATATAACAGTATTACATTGAATAAGTTATAACGAACTCATGCTAGAGTGAACATATAACAGTATTACATTGAATCAGTTACAAGGAACTCATGCTAGAGTGAACATATAACAGTATTACATTGAATAAGTTATAACGAACTCATGCTAGAGTGAACATATAACAGTATTACATTGAATAAGTTACAAGGAACTCATGCTAGAGTGAACATATAACAGTATTACATTGAATAAGTTATAACGAACTCATGCTAGAGTGAACATATAACAGTATTACATTGAATAAGTTACAAGGAACTCATGCTAGAGTGAACATATAACAGTATTACATTGAATAAGTTATAACGAACTCATGCTAGAGTGAACATATAACAGTATTACATTGAATCAGTTACAAGGAACTCATGCTAGAGTGAACATATAACAGTATTACATTGAATAAGTTACAAGGAACTCATGCTAGAGTGAACATATAACAGTATTACATTGAATCAGTTACAAGGAACTCATGCTAGAGTGAACATATAACAGTATTACATTGAATCAGTTACAAGGAACTCATGCTAGAGTGAACATATAACAGTATTACATTGAATAAGTTATAACGAACTCATGCTAGAGTGAACATATAACAGTATTACATTGAATCAGTTACAAGGAACTCATGCTAGAGTGAACATATAACAGTATTACATTGAATCAGTTACAAGGAACTCATGCTAGAGTGAACATATAACAGTATTACATTGAATAAGTTATAACGAACTCATGCTAGAGTGAACATATAACAGTATTACATTGAATCAGTTACAAGGAACTCATGCTAGAGTGAACATATAACAGTATTACATTGAATAAGTTATAACGAACTCAAGCTAGAGTGAACATATAACAGTATTACATTGAATCAGTTACAAGGAACTCATGCTAGAGTGAACATATAACAGTATTACATTGAATCAGTTACAAGGAACTTGCTAGAGTGAACATATAACAGTATTACATTGAATAAGTTATAACGAACTCATGCTAGAGTGAACATATAACAGTATTACATTGAATCAGTTACAAGGAACTCATGCTAGAGTGAACATATAACAGTATTACATTGAATAAGTTATAACGAACTCATGCTAGAGTGAACATATAACAGTATTACATTGAATCAGTTACAAGGAACTCATGCTAGAGTGAACATATAACAGTATTACATTGAATCAGTTACAAGGAACTCATGCTAGAGTGAACATATAACAGTATTACATTGAATAAGTTACAAGGAACTCATGCTAGAGTGAACATATAACAGTATTACATTGAATAAGTTATAACATATAACAGATTACTCATGCTAGAGTGAACATATAACAGTATTACATTGAATCAGTTACAAGGAACTCATGCTAGAGTGAACATATAACAGTATTACATTGAATAAGTTATAACGAACTCATGTTAACATAAGGAACTCATGCTAGAGTGAACATATAACAGTATTACATTGAATCAGTTACAAGGAACTCATGCTAGAGTGAACATATAACAGTATTACATTGAATAAGTTACAAGGAACTCATGCTAGAGTGAACATATAACAGTATTACATTGAATCAGTTACAAGGAACTCATGCTAGAGTGAACATATAACAGTATTACATTGAATAAGTTATAACGAACTTGTGCCAGTTGTAGCTTTACTTTCTGTTTCTCATTTTGTCCATGTATGATTTATTGAGCTAAACCTATAATTCAGCTTATGATAATTTTAGTAAAAACAGAATTATCTGAAATTCTATTTCTCATTGTTTTCACAGGATTTATGAAAGCTTGTGAAGAGTTAAAGAAGCACCAAATTCGTCTAGCTGAGCAGGCACAAGAGAACACAGAGGATGAAGAGGAAGAGGATGAAAAGGATGATGACCGGTCAACCAGTGGTAGGATGGATGATAGGATGGAGGTAGAAGGGGATGAAGAAGGAGAGGATGATGTCAATGGACATGACAGTAGTAATTTGGAAGTGAGCTCAACAAGTCTCAGTCCGCCCAAGAAACGTCTCTGTCTCAAGGTTAGTGTTTCTGATGATCTCTGTCTCAAGGTTAGCATTTCTGAGGGTCTCTGTCTCAAGGTTAGTGTTTCTGATGGTCTCTGTCTCAAGGTTAGTGTTTCTGATGGTCTCTATGTCAAGGTTAGTGTTTCTGATGGTCTCTGTGTCAAGATTAGTGTTTCTGATGGTCTCTATGTCAAGGTTAGTGTTTCTGATGGTCTCTGTGTCAAGATTAGTGTTTCTGATGGTCTCTGTGTCAAGGTTAGTGTTTCTGATGGTCTCTGTGTCAAGGTTAGTGTTTCTGATGGTCTCTGTCTCAAGGTTAGTGTTTTTGATGGTCTCTGTCTCAAGGTTAGTGTTTCTGATGTTCTCTGTGTCAAGGTTAGTGTTTCTGATGGTCTCTGTGTCAAGGTTAGTGTTTCTGATGATCTCTGTCTCAAGGTTAGCGTTTCTGATGGTCTCTATCACAAGGTTAGCATTGCTGATGGTCTCTGTGTCAAGGTTAGCATTGCTGATGGTCTCTGTGTCAAGGTTAGTGTTTCTGATGGTCTCTGTCTCAAGGTTAGTGTTTCTGATGGTCTCTGTGTCAAGGTTAGCATTGCTGATGGTCTCTGTGTCAAGGTTAGTGTTTCTGATGATCTCTGTCTCAAGGTTAGTGTTTCTGATGGTCTCTGTCTCAAGGTTAGCATTGCTGATGGTCTCTGTGTCAAGGTTAGCATTGCTGATGGTCTCTGTGTCAAGGTTAGTGTTTCTGATGGTCTCTGTCTCAAGGTTAGTGTTTCTGATGGTCTCTGTGTCAAGGTTAGCATTGCTGATGGTCTCTGTGTCAAGGTTAGTGTTTCTGATGATCTCTGTCTCAAGGTTAGTGTTTCTGATGGTCTCTGTCTCAAGGTTAGCATTGCTGATGGTCTCTGTGTCAAGGTTAGTGTTTCTGATGGTCTCTGTGTCAAGGTTAGTGTTTCTGATGGTCTCTGTGTCAAGGTTAGTGTTTCTGATGGTCTCTGTGTCAAGGTTAGTGTTTTTGATGGTCTCTGTCTCAAGGTTAGTGTTTCTGATGATCTCTGTGTCAAGGTTAGTGTTTCTGATGGTCTCTGTCTCAAGGTTACCATTGCTGATGGTCTCTGTGTCAAGGTTAGTGTTTCTGATGATCTCTGTCTCAAGGTTAGTGTTTCTGATAGTCTCTGTCTCAAGGTTAGTGTTTGTGATGGACTAGTTCATAGGATGTTAAAATGACCACAGTCTGCCAAACATGTCTGTCTCAAGGTAAGTGTTTGTCACAGACCAGGTCTCAAAATCTTAAAACAGTAAATACCGGTAGTAATATTGTGATGACTTGTAAAATTTTGTCCAGTTAAAAAACCAGGATGTTATTTTGATGGTATGGATGAGATAACAAGGAAAGAAGTAACATTTTGAGATGTATATGCATGAAAGTGAGGGCAGTGAATCTCGCTCTTTTTAACAGGACAGAAGTGTTTTAGGAGTAAGTTAAAGACATAAATCTCTGATATTTCAGGCTTCAACACCTGAGGATGCTAACATTGTCACATCAAGTGAGGATAAAATTAACATTCCAAAGGTCACCACGGTTACCGTAGCTGTCCAAACAACAAAAAGGGTGAGTTTTCTGGGACATGCAGGTTCAGCATGAAATCAGCAGACCCATTCTATCTGATGAAAGTCCTGTCTTGAGTTTCTCAGACTTGAAAACTAAGTTGAAAACAAAGATGGAATAAAAAAAATACACGTTTTATTCTACTCACAATATGCGAAAATTTGTCAGATTTTTCCCTAATAAAACATAAGGTCTGTTGTTCAAAGAAATCCTTTTCAAAGAATCATTTGATGTGAACATGAATTGATCAAGTAAATTCAAAAGAAAAGAATGACCAAATAAATAAAAGGTTTGAAAAAAGGAATGACCAAGTATTTCAACAATCAGGAGACAGGCAGCTATGAGAAATAAAAAGAAATTATCTGTGACCTGAATTAAATAAATATTTTATCATCGATATTCTTTAATACTAAAAGACATATTTAGTTATTTTGACACCCTACTTAAAAAATTTCTCCTTATTCTACAGAACACAAAATCACAGTATTGTCAAACAGATCGTCGAGTGGAAAACTTGCCCTCAACTGTTGAACCAGAACCATTACCTTCTCCAAAAACAACTAACATTGTGTGCCCCCAGACACAAGGCTCCACTAAATGTTCCTGTGATGAGAAATACAACAAAGTTTTCAATGACTTCAAAGAAAGGCTGGACAAAGATCATAAAGAAGACAAGGAAAAATCACTGAAAGAACAGTCTGATAGGGTAAGTGTGTGGTTTACAGAGTCTTTATCTACCTTCAGGGTTAAACATCCCCACAATTACTGACAGAACAGTCTGATAGGGTAAGTGTGTGGTTTACTCTTTATCTACCTTCAGGGTTAAACATCCCCACAATTACTGACAGAACAGTCTGATAGGGTAAGTGTGTGGTTTACAGAGTCTTTATCTACCTTCAGGGTTAAACATCCCCACAATTACTGACAGAACAGTCTGATAGGGTAAGTGTGTGGTTTACAGAGTCTTTATCTACCTTAAGGGTTAAACATCCCCACAATTACTGATAGAACAGTCTGATAGGGTAAGTGTGTGGTTTACAGAGTCTTTATCAACCTTAAGGGTTAAACATCCCCACAATTACTGACAGAACAGTCTGATAGGGTTAGTGTGTGGTGTACAGAGTCTTTATCAACCTTACCTTACTGAGGGTTAAACATCTTTATCAACCTTAAGGGTTAAACATAATTACTGATAGAACAGTCTGATAGGGTAAGTGTGTGGTTTACAGAGTCTTTATCAACCTTAAGGGTTAAACATCCCCACAATTACTGACAGAACAGTCTGATAGGGTTAGTGTGTGGTGTACAGAGTCTTTATCAACCTTAAGGGTTAAACATCCCCACAATTACTGATAGAACAGTCTGATAGGGTAAGTGTGTGGTTTACAGAGTCTTTATCAACCTTAAGGGTTAAACATCCCCACAATTACTGATAGAACAGTCTGATAGGGTAAGTGTGTGGTTTACAGAGTCTTTATCAACCTTAAGGGTTAAACATCCCCACAATTACTGATAGAACAGTCTGATAGGGTAAGTGTGTGGTTTACAGAGTCTTTATCAACCTTAAGGGTTAAACATCCCCACAATTACTGATAGAACAGTCTGATAGGGTAAGTGTGTGGTTTACAGAGTCTTTATCAACCTTAAGGGTTAAACATCCCCACAATTACTGATAGAAAAGTCTGATAGGTTAAGTGTGTGGTTTACAGAGTCTTTATCAACCTTAAGGGTTAAACATCCCCACAATTACTGATAGAACAGTCTGATAGGTTAAGTGTGTGGTTTACAGAGTCTTTATCAACCTTAAGGGTTAAACATCCCCACAATTACTGATAGAACAGTCTGATAGGGTAAGTGTGTGGTTTACAGAGTCTTTATCAACCTTAAGGGTTAAACATCCCCACAATTACTGATAGAACAGTCTGATAGGGTAAGTGTGTGGTTTACAGAGTCTTTATCAACCTTAAGGGTTAAACATCCCCACAATTACTGATAGAACAGTCTGATAGGTTAAGTGTGTGGTTTACAGAGTCTTTATCAACCTTAAGGGTTAAACATCCCCACAATTACTGATAGAAAAGTCTGATAGGGTAAGTGTGTGGTTTACAGAGTCTTTATCAACCTTAAGGGTTAAACATCCCCACAATTACTGATAGAACAGTCTGATAGGGTAAGTGTGTGGTTTACAGAGTCTTTATCAACCTTAAGGGTTAAACATCCCCACAATTACTGATAGAACAGTCTGATAGGGTAAGTGTGTGGTTTACAGTCTTTATCAACCTTAAGGGTTAAACATCCCCACAATTACTGATAGAACAGTCTGATAGGGTAAGTGTGTGGTTTACAGAGTCTTTATCAACCTTAAGGGTTAAACATCCCCACAATTACTGATAGAACAGTCTGATAGGGTAAGTGTGTGGTTTACAGAGTCTTGAACATGGCATGCATTTACTCTATTATTTTGATACTGCATGACTGAAAGTAATAATGGACTGTCATTAACATAAGATAACATTTACATGCAAGGTTATTGGAAACCTCAGGGTCAGAAAAATTCATCTTATCACAGAATGTAGAAAAAAAATACAGATTTGTCTGTTTTGATTAGAATTCAATAGGATACAGCTTTTAGATACCTGGTCCGAAGGACTGGTGAGTTTATACTATACAGTGGCATCCGTTGTCTGTTGTCCTTCAGGTTTTTTTAAAAAAAAACCCAAAAACTTCTAGTCATAAAGGACTAAGAAGAGGAGTGGGGCTTAATAAAGAAAATTGGTAAAATCTTTGTTAAATGACTGAATTTCTGAATAGGTTAGATGAGCAATACAGGCCACAAGGGCCTCTTGTATTTACTAAACCTTATGAAGCAACTTAGCAGTAGCCAGTAAGGTGAGATATGTAGAGAAATATATCATACTGAAAACAAGTTATACTGATATCATGTTAAATTCAAGCCATGTTTAGTTTTGTTCAGTTTTTTTTTAATCTTTTACAGTTACAAAAAGATTTTAATGAAGACAAACAAATTGCTGTGTCGCGTGCAGTGAACAACATGCAGCGTGAGGTTGACCGTGTGAAGCGACTGACTGAAGAAAGATGTAAACAAGAGTATATGGAAGAAATGAAAAAACTAGCCCAAAAACATAAAGAGGCGACATCTGTTACCAAGAAAAAGCAATGGGTAGGTGGACATTAGGAAACCAAGGATTGTCACAATAACTTACACATGTTAACAAGCATCACCTCTTGTGCAAATTCATATCTCAACCTTCTGCAGTTAATAACTAGGTTACCGTTATCATAAGTAGAAAAAAACAGGCTGCACGTCTTATCTGATTGTCAGGATACTTCACATGTGTTCACAAATGTCACCTCTTGAACAAGTTCATGTTTCAGTCTTTTTCTATCAAAAACTAGGTCACTATTACTATAAATAGAGAGTGATAGACTTTTTGATATCACTGCCATACAACTTGTGGAGCATTAGGGTATTTGTATCATCTGCAATGCGTTGTTGTATATTTGCAGTGTTATAACTGTGAGGAGGAAGCCATGTACCACTGTTGCTGGAACACGTCCTACTGTAGTGTTAAATGCCAACAGGACCACTGGCACAAAGAACACAAGCGTGTATGTCGACGGAAACGTTGACACTCTCCATCTTGTTGGGGCTCGGCCCACATACCTCCGCTGTCATCACATGCTATAGGCAACATTTATCATCACTAGTCTCACTGCCGTCATCAGAGTCATCTCAGGACATCGCTAATTACTGTTCTGTCCAAACCTTGAATAGATTTTACCAGAATGAAAATCTGACCTATCGAAAATACAGAAGGAGCCATTAAGAAAACATTTAAATTGATTTTAAGAAGTGACATTGTCAATTGATATACTAGCTTTAGGAATCACTTGTTTTTTCATAAAACTGCTAGTCAGTTTGTAAGGTTATACACTAAATGTTACTTAGGCTGCAATCTCTTGTATCACATTTGAAACTTTTGTGCAATTGATTTAGATAAAGAAATTTATGCCAAGAGGGAAATTAATTGTAAAAAAATGAGGGAATTCTGAACCTCTACATGTTTTTGTATAATGTATAGAAGAGACCAGTAATGAAGATTCTTCTATAACATTGTAAAGTTTGGGAAAAGAAACACTTTGAACAATTAAATCTATTTAAAGATTCTTTATAGAACTTTGGAAATTTCATTCCTTTTTAAATATCATTTTGTTTTATCATTTTCATTGCCAGTATAGAAATTCATAGCACTTTCATTTGAGACTTGTTGTCTTTTCAATAATATTGTTTTAATTTTTCCCCCTGTTGTAAAAAGTGAAAAGGAATTTTATTGTATGGATGGTCAATATCATCTCGTATTTCAATTTCTATTTATACATCAACAGCAGTGACATAGGAGATCTTGTTGGTGTTCATCACAGATCTGGCATATCTTTTGTTATTCATTTTTTTGTCATTATTTCATTTCACTCCCGTGTACACAATTTTTACAGTGGAATCTCGTTAATTTGATTAGTAGATTGATTATCCTCTGATCATAGGTGTCTGGAAAAGAATATTTTTTTTTTTGTTAAACTGAATTTTTCAGCTTTGTTGATAGAATGAACAATGTTTTTGTTGTGATTTTCTGCAAATAATCACCACAAAATAGTTTAAGTGATATTTTTGGGATATGTAATTTTTTTTTAACTTATACAAGAGAGTTGGGGGATTGAGTATAGAGTGATCACATGGTCTGTGCATCAATGCATGTGAGTGCGAGTGTAAGTGTCCATGATAAACTTTTTGTACAAGATATCTTATAAACTTGAAGATTTGTTTCACATGCACACCTTAGCACCACGACCCCAATGTCTACACCTGATTAGATGTTGGTGTACATTGATCAAGGTTAAAAGTCAAAGGTCACCTTAGAACACTTTGCAAATAAAAAGCTTGTGTACAGGATGGATGTCGGGGGTATATCTATGTGAGTCCCTGCTCACTTTAGACTCAATAGTTACATGGAGTTTTGAAGACTTTCTTAGAAAAAGTCCTGGAGATGTTTAAAAACATTATTTCAGTAGGGGCCAAGTTTGTGATATATCATTTGACATATATATATATATTTGTAAATATGTAATTATCCACCTTAATAGAGAACCTTGTGATTCTGGACTTTAATCTTGAAATAGGTTTCCCTCCATAAGATTGGGATGTTTAATCATGTTCATTTATTTTCTTTAAATGTCATCCTCTTTCTGAGATTTATAAACAACTTATGGCATCCTTTTTTGGGAAGTTTGTGCAGCATACAAATTGTCTATATTAACGAGGTTCTGCTGTGATCATGACTCATTGTAGAACCATGTTGTTTGTTTACTTTAAGTATGTTTATTAAAAGAGTCCTATGGTCGCTCTTGACATTCAGTTTAGTTTTGGTATCTTTGAGATTGTGACAAAAACAACTAATTTGTAAAGAATATAATTTGATACTGTATTTTTTGTTAGTTTGTGAGTGCTAAAAGGAAAATACAAGGAACGTATTTAAGATTTTTATACAAATTATTTCTCCATGGTTAATATAAACCACTGCACAAAACTGCTGTAAGCTGAAAATTAACAAAGCATGTTGATTTATTTATACAGCTGCTTTTGGACTTTCTAATAGTGTCATTAGTGCGTTAAGGGTGGGGGAACGGGAAATACAGATGTAATGAAACTTCAGGAAATATTTTGGAAATTTCACTCATAAAATCAGAAAATTCAATAGCGAAATTCAACGAAACAGGGAAGTAGGACTTTTATAGTACATTTTATGAGCTTAGTGTAAATTTTGATCAGTTTTTTCCCCTGTTTGTTTGATTTTTACAGTAGAGGTAACACAGGTATTAAAACTGGTTATATATATATATATGTATATACATGTATATGATGGCAAACCATTCACTGACCAAGGGGGATTTTCTTTGTGTGTTTGTAAATGATATAAATATTCATTTTTCATTAGTGAAGTTTAATATATACATGTATACTTGGAACTGTGAATACTTATATTGACAACTTTACTTGTTTGCTTTAATGCTGCCGGTTTTGATCATAAAGAAAAAACCAATCTAGTCACCAAATTGTTTTATCACCACATATAAAAATCATCCTTTTTCTAACCACACACTGTGTCGTGTGTCGATACCCAAGGTCTTGTTATTAGACAGAAACTAAGGTAGCTAAACTGTATAGTTAAACCAGACTATTTAAACTTGATAGTCATGCTTGTGTCTTGTTACACTGCTACATGGACTGGAGCAGATCATGCGTGATTCACAGAATGTAGTGATATGTTTCAATTTTAAACTGTGATTGTGCTGATTCTGTTGTATTTTTACACTAAATTTAGATAATGTGTTTGCTGATGGCTTCTATACTGCAGGATTTTCACTGACAGTATTTCTTTGATGCAGACAAAATGAAAATTTCCTACTTAAGTGTCGCTGAAAATAAAAATCAGAATCCGTTTATTAATGAGATATATTCTGTTTTACGCCTTCAGAAGGACAAAGTCCCCAAGTACTGTAAACATACTTAATATGGCACAAGCAAATTTTAGTTTATTATTCCATTTTAGCAAATTAGCACAATGATATATTTTGCATGTACAACAATGACTTTATGAATGGGATGAAGAAATTGCCGTTAGCGGAATCATATTGTAGTGTAATATGTCAAGTGCAAAAAGAGCTTAAATAACTGCTAAAGTATGTATGTTTACAGTGTTTGCCATACTTTACAAGTGATCTCCTAGACTGTACTGAATCTGTTGTTGTCAGGTGGGAATAAGTTTTTTTTTTATTCAGGTTTCCAGTTTTCTGTTAAGTTTTCAAGTTTTTCCTGTCTGTTATTTCTTTTCCCTACATCAATTCTTAACCACTCAACAATATAATTTCAATGGGGGTATTTTATTTTTAAAAAAAAGTTGTTAAACAATGCTTGGTGGATGTTTGTTTCACAAATTCTGTCATGTTCAGTTATTTTTTAAATGCTGTAGAATTTAGTAATTGACATGTGATGAATAAATATTTTTGATGATGAAGATATTCTGTAGATTTCTGCAATGTTGCATTTTTCACGTTTAATAATTTTGTAACACCTGAATTTGACTTCTCATGCTTTTTAACAACAACACCACTATTTTAGCTTTTAAACCATAAAATGATCCAGATTTTTTAAAGTCACCATCTTCAAAATGTTTTGTGTATTGCAGTTGTAGTTAATTTCAAAAACAAATGTTATTGAAGTTAGAATAGGTAAGTATAACCAGCAGATCATATTGTTTTCTTCAGATTTTATAGTATTTTCTGGGTCATATTAAGGATTTGGTTTTCCTCAGTGTTTCTTTTTTCGCTTAATCAAAAATATGTTGTAACTGTAGAAGGCAATGGAAAATATTTGGAATTTTGAAAAAAATCTGAAATGTTAAATTAGCTTTGCTTGCTTAATATATAATAATGTTTTCAATTATTGTTGTTTTAAAACTTAGAAAGTAACTTACTGTGACCTGAAGACTTTAGAATGTATGCTACTTTGTTGTGACCAGGAGACTGAAAAAAGTATGTTACATTATTGTTACACGGTTACTTTAAGATGTTTTTTACCTTATTGTGAGATAGAAGACTTAAGGATGTATGTTACCTTACTGTGACATAGAGACCCACAGATGTATGTAACCTTACCATGACATGAAGACTTAAGGATGAATGTTACCTTACCGTGACATGATGACTAGAGGATGAGTGCTACAATAATGTAACATGAAGACTTAAAGATGTATGTTACGTTACTGTGTCATTGAGACATAAGGATTTATGTTACCTTATTGCAACATGTAGACCTCAGGATGTTTGATACCTTACTGTGACACAGAGACAAAAGGATTTATATTACCTAACTGTGACACAGAGACTTTAGAATGCATGTTAACTTATTGTGATATGCAGACTTCAGGATCTATGATACCTTACTGTGACATGAAGACATAAGGATTTGTAACCTTATTGTGACATGTAGACTTAAGGATCTATGTTACTTTACTATGGCATGTATACTTAAGGATCTATGTTGCCTTACTGTGACATGTAGACTTAAGGATGTATGTTGCCTTACTGTGACATGTAGACTTAAGGATGTATATTACCTAACTGTGACATGTAGACATAAGGATGTATGTTAACTTACTGTGACATGTAGACTTAAGGATCTATATTACCTTACTGTGACATGTAGACTTAAGGATGTATGTTACCTTATTGTGACATGTAGACTTAAGGATGTATGTTACCTTATTGTGACATGTAGACTTAAGGATGTATGTTACCTTACTGTGGCATGTAGACTTAAGGATGTATGTTACCTTATTGTGACATGTAGACTTAAGGATCTATATTACCTTACTGTGACATGTAGACTTAAGGATCTATATTACCTTACTGTGACAGGTAGACTTAAGGATGTATGTTACCTTACTGTGGCACATGTAAGGGCGTTATTAACCTATGCTACCTTACTGTAATTTGAAGACATAGATATTTGTGCTTCTTTTACTGTGAAGGATGGCTTAAAGCAGAGTTTACTTTTAACTCAGTTAACATCATTTAACTGGGGAGGAAGGGTATAAGTATTATAGAATTTACTTGAAAACAATGTGAAATATGTCTAGTATTAGAAGTCATCAATTACAGACGAAGTACTATATATCAGATGAACAATAATGTATTAGGAAGTTGTCATACACCTTATTCATATTTTACCCTTTATCTGCCCTAGACTCCCATATCACCCTGAGGCATTGGAGGCCTAGATAAACTCATAAGAATATCTAATGATAAACACAATAAGCTCATATTTCAGTTTTTTTTCTTTTAAATTCTACCATGAAAAACAATGATAATAAACAAATGAGATATTTGTAGCACATGCGTAATATTGTGTCCAACAGATATTAATGCAGATGAGGTGCTGTGGTTGTGTTTATTTTCTATTGTCAGTTTTTTCCCCCTACTCACATGTAATGTGCCATACTTTCTCTGAATAAATCCGCTGTAACTGAAAGTATTTTTGATAAAAATACAATTACACATAATACTTCTTGAAGTTTCACCA